ACAATATTACCAATAGTCTCAAATAACACTTTGGGATTACGCCGATTATTAGACACAAGCTTAGAGAAATAAGCAGCTCTGGCATCCTTCACTGCATTATTAAAAGACGCGAGAAGTTCTTTCAAATAAAGATGGTGGACATGCAGTTGAGTGGATTTCCATAGGCGCTCGACCCTTCGACAGTTCTCTTCAGAGAGCGAATATTGTCATTTATCCAAGGAGAGGGCTTGATCAGGGGGGCCCGCCTAGTTTTAATAGGGGCCACTTCATCCAGTACATTAAGGCAGTGTTCATTAAAGGAATGTACCAAGGTGTCAGCGTCACTGTCCACATCAGAGTCGAAGTAGAAGGCAGCAGAGAACTTTCCAGCAGAACGGTGGTTAAGGATGCTAGAGCTTATAATACGTCGGCAGGGTAAGGAATCCAGATGAGAAGACAAATCAAATAAAATACAATTGTGATCAGTAATAAAAAGATCCTCAAGGGATAAAGAATCAATATTCAAACCCAAAGTAAAAACAAGATCCAGAGTGTACCCTCTATTGTGTGTAGGGCCTAAGACATGCTGAGTAAGGTTAAAAGACTCTGTGATGTTAATAAAGCTAGAGGCAAAATTGTCTGAAACATCATCAACATGTATATTAAAATCACCAGCAATGATAAATCTGGATAGCTTAAGAATAGAGGCCAATAAGTCAGTGAATTCAGTCAAAAATTAGCCATTTGGGCCAGGAGGACGGTAAATTAAAATACAGTAAAATGGATTTTTACATCCAATTTTAATCATTTGAAGCTCAAAGGAAGAGAAAGACCCAGTGCTCACCGAGCGACATACGAAGCGGCTCCTGAACACCGCAGCAAGTCCTCCACTGCGACCTGAGAGTCTGGGCAAGCTGATAAAAGTGTAGCCCTTAGGGCAGAGCTCAATGAGGGGGCCAAGTTCCATATTCCTCTGCCAGGTTTCCGTCAGGAAAAGAAAGTCCAAGTTTTTAGACAAAACAAAGTCGTTTAGCACGAACAATTTGTTCGCTATGGAGTGCGCATTAAGTAGCGCCATTTGGAAAGGAGAAGACTCTTCGCAGTCGGCGGGGGAAACCCGGGGCAGGGAGCGCAGATGACGTGGACTCCCTCCACTGCGCCGATGTATTCCACACACCGGAGGGGCCGAGATCAGCTCCCCGGCCGAGTCGGGAAACACAGGTCGGAGAACAGAGAGTCTGACAGTCGCAGCCATCGATAAAGGGAGATCATTCCACGGAGTAACAGGAAACATCAAGCCAAGGCTCATCAGAAGAGAACGGCGCCGTTTTCCAGCGACACCTCGCTTCCAGAGCCATCTTAGCTTCACCTGGACTCCGGCCCTTCTCCCTCTCCTTCTTCCGTACTTGCGAGAGCCTTGAAGCTGCAAACCATTGAGGGGAACGCCAGCAGCCACTGACAGGAACGGAGGCGCCGAGGATTGCGGGTGACTACTCCGAGGAGTGGAAACACCAAGATCCACCATGGATGCCCTGATGAACAGGAGAGTCTGGCGATCATACACCCGAGCAGCAAATCCATTGTTGACAAACAGTAGAACGAACAGAGCAATACAAAGAACAGGTAGGAGCCCACGGGAAAGCCGGGCAGGCGCCATCATACCCGGAAATGATTCCAAACAGGCGAATTCACTGCTGCTGATGGCACCATGCATTGAGCATCACTTGCGACCCCTATCTGCTGCATCTAAAAGTACGACTTACAAAAGATGTTGCTCTAATTCTATTACAGCACAAACACTCCCATCAAGTTTTGCAGCTGAGTGCAGTTTGCCCTTTTTTGTGGCTGATTGCTATTATCCTTTACCCTGGAAATCCAGAGTTCTTGCGAGAGCACAATTTGAATTTGCTCAGCGAGTCACTCTGGCAATCAGTAATGATGCTCATTATCTATGCACATGAAACCGAGCTGCACCAATCACATCGGTGTATCTAATATAGGCGGGCCAGAGGCGAGCTAAACAGATGACGACAGCGCTGCGACAACGAAGTCCGGAATCAGTCAGTAAACATTACAAGATGGCTATGGATGAACACTAGTTGTTTGAAACGGCTTTGGCCGAGTTAGACTTGGCTTTTTCTCTAAAAGAGGAACAGAAGACGGCGCTCGAGTCTTTCCTTTGCAAGAAGGACGTTTTTGCTGTTTTGCCGACCGGATATGGCAAGAGTCTAACCTACCAGTTAGCTCCACTGGTAGCTAAGCGTATACGTCACCCCGTGTATTGTTCTGATTGGTCGTAGTGTTATCCAATTGCGTGCAGTGATATTTTCAAATGCATGCTTGGTGCGGCCCCTCGAGTTGGGCCATTTTCATTACTCATGGCCAGACCCTAAATCTTTCTAGATTTGGGTCTCGATTTCCAGGCTAATTATCCTTATGGCAAAGCATAGATGTTGCCATTGCACCAAGCACACAGGGCAATGTTGATGGCAGCTGGTAGGCATGTCAGTTACAGTTAATTTTGTTCTTTAAAGTCCAATACCCATTAACAGTCAAACTAACTGGTTAATTTTTAAGGGAAAAAAAGTGAAATAACATTAAAAACAAGAGACCTGGGGTGTTTGTGGCTTAGTGGTAGAGCAGGGCTCCACGTACAAGGCTGTTGCAGCAGCAGCCCGAGTTCGACTCCAGCCTGTGGCCCTTTGCTGCATGTCACTCCCTCTCTCTCTCCCCCCTTCACGCTTGTCTGTCCTATCAAATAAAGGCTAAAAATGCCCCAAAAAATATCTTAAAAAAACAATAGACCTGTCCTTTTAGACCAGTGCTCCATTGATTCAGTGAGCTTTAGCGTCTAATTTCAAAGAGTTATCCATTTGGAGGTGGTTAAATTTGAATATTTTGTGGTATGAATGTTTTGCCTTTTATTTTCTGACAGCTTTGCTGACAGACAGCTGGCTAGTCTAGTTAACATGCAGAAACATAGTGCCCACTCCCCACCCTCCGGTCTCCACTGGTTAGCTGCAGGGTTCGGGAGTAATGGAATACAAGTATCAGTGTTACGTATTTAAAATACATTTTAAATTACAAAATATGAGTAACTGTGTTCTTTTACAATTACAGCTTGAATTGGCGGTATTCTGAATACAGTTACTGTCTTTAAAAATAGATTTCTTGAAGGGATTACTTTGGTTGTGTTTTTTATGTGCACCATTTCCTAACTGAATGCGCCGGGAGCGAGCATCAGCGACAACATCAGTTTGATTTCATTGTTTTCTATTAAAACATTCGAGTTGGCTGCATGCAGCGATGCAGTGCCCCTTTTTGACCTGAACTTTTGTCATACACCCCTTTTCTATTCATTCCTGTCTCTTGCCTTGAAAGCTTTGCAGTGGAAGAGGAACAGCTGATTCATGAAGTTGACAGACAATTTTTAAGTATTCTAAAGGCAACCAAAAATATTTTGAATATATCACTTAATTAGAGTAATCTAATAGAATCCATTCAGTAATCTGTTGCGGAATACATCTGAAAAGTAACTCTCCCAACACTAGTTAGCCAACATTAGCCTTGGCCACTCTGCACTGCGCACCAGACTGCGCTTTTGTGGAAGCTAATTAGCAGAGTTGCTCATTTGCAGTTATCAGCGGAAATATGGTGGCCACCGTGTGGTCTCCCCACAGGTAGACATGGTGAGTAAGCAACTTTGACGCTGTTAACTGTGTTAGCACCACTCACCATGCTGATTTTGTTTACAGTGCTAACAAAGTTAACAATGCCAAAGGGGGTTTGTGGCTCAGAACTGAGCAGCTTACTCACCCGGTGACCTATGGGCGGGCACAATATTTCGACAACAAAGCTTTAGGGTCAGGATACTGTTACTAGCAGTATCGCTAAAGGAACGGGTGTTGCTAACTAGCTTCCATTAGACCCAGTTATGCAGTGCGGTAAACTGAAATGTAGCAAAATTAACGTACAGATCGACAGGCGTACCTGGTCAGAAAATATTCTTGGCACTTGAGTGATTAACAGATAACCATTGACATATGTAGCAGAGAGGAAAAGAGAACTGAAATTTGAGACAACAAGCTACAGGTCCTGACTGACGAGCTGCAGAGGCTTTCCTCCAAACTTCACAAACACGCCTGGCTACAATACCTGCTGAGGTGATCATTGAAAAATCTATAATATATTATATAATATAAATGCTAAACCCCTTATAAACAAGTTTTAGTTAACACCAACTCTGAAGATGCTCAGAATTTCACTGTAACTGTGTGAGTCTGTTAGTGCTGATCTTTGTAAAGTGGACTGTTTTTGCAGAGAGGCAGAGAAAGGAACCAATTTTGTGTTAAATATATGCATGTTACCTACCGGTAATTTAAATATGTGCAAATAGCACAAGAATGCTATTTTGCTGGCAGCGCAGTTAGGGGTGTGATGTACCCTTTGCCGGTACTTTGAGAGTTACACAGTTTCTTTTGTCTAATTTATGCAGGTGTAGCGGCCACACTGTTCTTTTGTTAATTCACCCATCAGTGCACTAATGCTGGACTTGCAGGAACAAAATGAGTAAGGAAATGTTTTAGGATAAAGGCTCATGCTGTACATTTTAACAGGTCACAGTTTTCCAGTTGAAGACACAACTAATAAAGCTTCTCCAAGGAACAGGCTGTGTTTAAGAAGATCTTCTATATAATTGTCAAACAGTGAGGCTTACCTTCAGAGCAACGGCTTGCTGTTAATGGATTAAAAAGCAGGTAAAAATGTTAAAAAGAAATGAAAGTCAGTGAGAATGTATAATTTCTCAAAATAATTTGCCTCAGTATTTGTTATTATTTTGTTGAACATACAGCTGAATATGCTTTAAAATAAAGTAACAGCATCACAGATAAATATCTCCTATATCTCAGATTTCTCCAGAAACAGCTGATCGTCATTTCTTCACACTATAGGAAGTGACATCACATGTTGACAGCGTGGCTCAGGCACGCCTCCCTGGAAATAAGGAGAGGGGAGAGGGCATGAGATAAACCGTGGTTGATTCAGAGGCAGTCGTTGGATTGGCATGGCTGTGTGCAGCTCAGCACTGCGATCTACATCCACGAGGCTCCTGCCTGGACATTTGGATTCTCTCCGCACAGCAGCACAGCCTTGATACGGTGCTGGACAGCGTAACATTGAGCTGTGCTGTGTTTTAACAGCAGGGCTTTGGGAGATAAAGAGGGAATAATAAGGGGAGGGGGGCAACCTTACCACACACTTGAGCGATGTGCCGTGAGCTTCTCTCTCTCTCGTTTCAGAGCGTCAGGCTTTTCTACACAGAGACCTGGGACTAATGGAGGGATGCACTGATGTTACTCTTTGCTTGTCATGCTTGAATCACAGCTTCATATATCCTTTTGTGTCAGAGACCTTATTGTCTTCGTCTGCCACTGCCGCCAGCTCTACTGTGGGGTAGCGTGGCGGACAGAGCCCCCTCCTCAACCCCCCTCTCCCTTGTCTGTGCCCCCGGCTTCTCATCACTCCCAGCTCGCTCGTGTCTATTTACCTCTCTTAAGCTACCCTCCCCTCTCTGTTAAGCTCCGTCTTTCTTGCTCTCCCGCTCCCTGCTGCTTACTATCTCCCTCTCTTTGCTCCTTCAAAGCAGGCAGTCTGCTATTCTATCCAGGCGGCTTGCTACATGATCTCCTGGAAAACAGTTTTCGCCGCCGCTCTGCCTCCTCACAATTCCAGAGCCCTTCCAGATTTCCATCTCTACAACGGCAGGATGTTCCTTCGCGAGGATTGATCCCCATCCGCCCCCCTTCACTTTCCCCTTCCCCTCCCTTGTCCTGATCTCCTGCCCTCTGACCCCTACCCTCTTGTTCTCTACCCCCACCCTCCCTCTCCCATTCGCCCTTACCCCAAGCCTCTTTCCCCCATAATTCATTTCACCCACTTGACCATGTTGCCATGTGTCTGCTGGCTCCAGCTTATCCTCATCTTGCTGTCCTCTGTCTTATGGACCCTGGGGGAAAACTGCCCAGCAACCTGCCTGTGCCCAGATCCTCACACTGTGGACTGCAGTGGCCGTGGGCTGACCCGTCTACCCAGTGAGATCCCCTTGGATGTGCGCAGGCTGTTGCTGGCCGACAACTGGATACCCAGCATTCCCTCAGACTTCCTGGTTCTGTACAGTGACTTGGTCTACCTGGACCTCCGGAACAACTCCCTCTCCCACATAGAGCCAGGGACCCTTAGCACCTCTTCCAGGCTGGTCTTCCTGGACTTGGGCAGCAACAATCTGACTGAAATCCCCAAGGGGACTTTTGGGGAGTCTCGGAGCCTGATCAAGCTACGGCTGGGCAACAACCCATACCTGAGCATGGTGAACGAGGATGCTTTCCTTGGCCTCACCTCTCTAAGAGAACTGGAACTGGAGCGCAATGCACTGTCGACGCTACAGGTGGGGGCGCTAAGTCAGTTGCCCTCCCTGCGGGCGGTGAGGCTAGAGGGCAACCCCTGGGTGTGCAACTGCAACTTTGCCAACCTGTTCACATGGCTGATGGAGAACAGTCACAAGCTTCCAAACGGTAAGCAGCAGCAGCATCTAAGAAGCGTTTGCTTTCCATGTGCTTGACCCAAATAAAGCGTATCTGAGCACAACATACAGGAGTATTATTGCAAATCCATTGCCATAACGCTGCTCCGGTCTATTTATGTTTTCCCTGTAGGAGAGGGAACCCCCTCCCTCCCCCTTGTTCTAATTTTATCTCTTTCTTCCTCCACTCCCAAAGCATATAATGTGTGTGACTGACTATGTAATATGAGACAATAGCACTTGTTTTAAAGTGAAAGCTGCAAGGATGCTTTGTTTTTGAATGTGATTAATTTCAAAATACAAAAACAAGACACAATTCTAAAGGCAGCATCGTAAGAAATGACACAACCCGTACTAAGAATTTTAGCTTTCAGTTTCTCCCGTTCTCACCATGCATATAAACATTGACCTCTATCCTGCGTGGTAGTCAAATCGATCAATTTGCAGCTTATATTTATATAATACTTATTTTTATATAAGCCAACCATTTGGTGGACACTGTAATTCAGCAATATCATCAATTATTTTCTTCCTCACACCAATGGAAATCAACCCCCCATCTCTTCTTCTCCTTCTCCGCTCTATCCATGTGAATTTTTAGGCCCATACTATAGTCTCTGTCTACCACTGTGATTCAGCCTGGAGGGCTGAGTTAGATAACAGGGCTGAAGTTTTGGTGTGCTCGAGTGTGCAAGGCAGTCTGAATGTGTGCATGAATATCTGAGGAACAACACAAGACAAAGGGGATCACTGTGTCCCTTTTAGAAGAAGTATTATACTGTGGGTGAGATCTGCTTACATGGAGCTGATTGGTGGCAACATCTAAAGCTAGAGAGATGTCCTGGATAAACACAAACCATCACATTGTTTTAATCTGTGTGAATATTATTCATGTTGAGGTAGATTGTATAGAACCTAGATCGCCTGTCAGGAATAATTTATCCCCAGACAAATCATAGTAATGTTTTGTTCAGAGGGACCCATAAATGTTTTTACTGAAGGTCGGCTAATGTATATTACTATTAAAGCCCTGACAAAGGACACAGACAACAGTTATCTCGTAAGTGCACGCCAGCACGTGGGAGCAGAGGAGGCAAAAATAAACAGATCTGACAGTTCAGCCACACATGACTAGCAGCTCGTGCTGTTATCATATTCAGATCAGAGTGCAGATTTGACGTATTACACGGCTTAATCTGAGAATTTAATATGAATGCAGCTCGCAGTGTTATGACATATGGACGTCGAGGGCGTAGTTGAAAAACATAATTCAGTTTTTAAATACAGTACACAGTGTTTGTGTATAAAGGTGTACAGATAAGGAGTGGGAGCATTTATATCTGTCAGTGCTCCAAGGTTGTTTGGGGTGTGAAATGTTGACCTAACAAAAAGAACATTTTTTTGTCCAATGAATAGCAGTGGACTAAATCTTGTTTTTAATCTCATTTAATTGGTTAGACATCAAAGCCTCTGCATATGGATATGTTGTAATTATGCAGAAGATCTCATAACAAAAAAATGGTAATTTTTCAAATTGCAAATTAAAATGAAAATCTTGTTCTGGCTCGCTAAAGCTTTAACTCAATTCCACTAAAAAAACTGGCTGCCTGCTGCAAACTGCTGACAACTCACAAAAGCAAAAACTCCTTATATACATTTAGGCCATGGTGTACCACGCTATTGATACTGCATTTCTCCAGGGCTCTACATTTGCCCCAAAAACAGACAAGTTTGGGTCTGTGAGGAAGCAAAGTTGATAAACTGGCAAGAATACCTAATTCCCCCTAGTAACAGGCTGCAAATGCATTAATCACGGCTTCTAAGTGTTGTCAAATGCAAGGCATAATGAATTGCATTAGTAGTGCTGGCCAGGCAGACATCAACAACAAAGAAGAAGCCAAGGGCCTGGCCAAGCTGCTGGCATGGCTGCCAACTGGCCCCAGTGTATACACACACTCAAATTGAGTTAGTAATGCGTATCTCACTTCATATGCAGCTCTTACATCCCCATCAGTGAGTGTTTGCTTTCTGACCCCAGAGACGAGTCCACCGGCTCAGACAGAGCAAACACACATACATGCTTATTTGTACAGGACATCTAAAGTGGTCCACATTTGGGTTTTTGTTGATATAATTTTATAATTTTCTTTGGCCAATAAAAAGGTGTTTGGAATGTACTTTGTAATGCTAATGATGCTGGGGGATTGGATGACAAATAACATTTTAGAAAAAGGAATAATTATTCTCCATCTGAGGTTCTTCTTTTCTAAGGCGATGCAAATGAGTTCTGTAACAGGTCAGAGAGGCCAAAAGATGTTTCACTGACCTTTAAATATCCTCTAAAACAAGTTTTTGTCTTTCTGTGTGTATAATTTATAGAAGAGTTGCTTTATTTTTCTAACACTAAAACAGTCAAAAGTACAACAGAACTAGCAAATACTTAGACAATGCAATACAGTGCACATCTTTTACTTGTTATTGCAGTATTGCAGTATTAAAGAATAATCCGTCACCATCAGCAGATGTTAACAGTAAACTCTGAAGTTTTAGACAGATTATGAAAATACAAAAAACAGGTCCGCACACCTTAGTTTTAATCATATCACCACGTGACGTTTCAGGTACCAGCCCTTCATCAGACATGAACAAGATAAGGAGACACACCTCTGTATATCCTCCTGAGACCCTGTGTCCTCATACAAAGACATCACATTTTGGGTTTACTGGACCTTATACATCATTCTGCTTAACGCAGGCCTGTTGTCCTCGTTCATGGACAATTTTTTGTGGCATCTAGTGGTAGTAAGAGCAAAATACACTAATCCATGTAAAAACAAGATGGCAGCCATCTCTGCCAAGTCAGTCTGCAGCCGATACTGACACAAAAGTGGACAAGGTCCAAAACCTGATCACATTTAATTGTCGAAACGTGTTCATTTATTATAAATACAGTGTCTAGGTTGATGTTCCAACAAATTTGACCAATTCTAGCAACAGTAACAAGCTAGACGCTGTTAATTAGGAAGTACTCATTTGCAGACATCAGGAATTTTTCATCAGCTCGTTGACGGACATTGGGACTTTATTATCATCTCCTTTGAGGACATTAGGGCTTTACTGTTGTCTCCTTTGAGGATATCGGGACTTTATTTATTTATCGTTCATAAAGTTTAGTTTTTTATACTGATCAGGTACTAATCTCAAATAGCTAGGAAAAATTGAAAACGCATACCAACGGGACACCCGACACACTCCTGACACATGTGTTCGGGTGTCAGGAGGATATACAACCAATGGTTGTCACCCAACAGATCATGTGATACTGTAGCACAGCTACACAGAAACGGAGTGCAACACACTACAAAACCAGTACAAAATGACACCACAGGAAAAAAGTTCATTTACAAAAAAATGTATTGAACAAATACTATATTTACAAAAAGACCAGCAGTGCCTTGAGTATCACCTAGAATATCACAATATTTTAGTATTAATATATTTTTATATATTTATATTTAGGAGCCCTGGACATTACAGAATTTAGTGCTACTCAATGAGAAAGACCAAATCTTGAGCAGCATGTAAACATTGTTTATGACATTGCTGTGGTAATTCTCATTGAGTTTTACTACTTTTTGTAGTATTAGAGGCACCTCTATTTTTAAACAAAACAAAACAAAATCCAGAAAATTTTAAAGAAATATATAAATCATAAATATATCCTCCTACAATTTCACCTTGAATTTGCATGTCGCTATGACGTTTTTTTTAACTGATGTTTTAGTCATGTGATAATCGAGGTGATACTCTGGGCAACGCTGACCTTTTTCTAAATATTTTTTTTTTTATGTAATTTTTTGTAAATGTATTCCTGTGGTGTCATTTTGTACTGGTTTTTTAGTGTGTTTCTGTATAGCTGCATCTGTTATCCCATGATCTGTTGGGAGACCACCATTGGTTGTATATACAGAGGTGTGTCTCCTTATCTTTGTCATGTCTGATGAAGGGCTGGTGAAATGATTAAAATTTCCGAAAGGAGCAGTTTCTGGTGTACTGACCTGTTGTTGTATTCTTGTATTTGTTCTTCTCTCCAGCATCCAGTATTTATCTTTTTTGGATGTGCGTGCTGTTTTTTGAGTCTTTAGTTGAGACCAGATTATCAAAATTTAAGAATTTCCAATCACACAACCCCTGTTTTACCATTTTGTGACAGTTATTTCCTGCAGACATTTCACTACTTTTTGGAGCACTGCAGGAAAATCACTTGTACAGATTACTGGTAAACACAAAGTACGTGGGAGGATTGTGGTAAGTAAGTCGCAGGCACCCGTTGCACTCGTCCCCCTAAATCCAGACTTCCAAACCCGGCTGGTCCACATGCAGACATCATACTCCCAAACCTAATTAACATAATGACTGAGCTCTCGATCACGGAAAAATGCTTTGACCTATTCCCTGGAACGCTGTGTTGGAAGTGGTTACAAAATAACAGATGGACACTCATTAGTGAATGAGGTTGACTTGATAAGCTTTTCAATATGTATCAACTCTAACAGCCATCATGAGTGTGGGTGGCTCCACTTAATATCTCATTCATCGTAGAGGAAATCAATTACAGAGGCAAGAATTACTCTTTAAATTGTACATCAGTGTGCTTTTTCCGTCCCCGTGGGAGTTGCATCCTCATGTCTGATTCATCATACAATAAATCAGTTAGCAGGCCAGAAAATTACAGTTTAAATTTTATTTGATTGTGGCCCCTCTTAAAACCAAGAGCTCCACTGATGTTCAAAACACGTAAAGGTTGAAGCTGCCAAAATGATTCCTGTATCTCAATTTCACACTGTCATGTACAGTTTATACTTACACCTACAAAAAGCAGGGATGCACAATATTGGATGTTTTTGCCAATATCCAGTATGCTGATCTATAACAACTTATTTGGCACCGATTGATACCGATATCAATATATCCACTTTGTCCACCTATCTT